TGGAAGTGCAGATGCTGGGCTTCTGGAGCTTCCGCAGTGGGTGCTGGGCTTCAGGCCCTTCTCACATACACAGGCTCGATTTCTGACTTCCTACCTAACAACATCCCCCTACAGATGAATGTAAACGTTTTCCACTAAACTAACAATGTAATAAAATATGAGCTAAACGATCTGGAGGTGAAAACACAACAGCTGAAAACCACACCATTAAATAAATAAATGCACTTTCTAGTGAGTGGGTTGTTTGGAGACAGGAAACCTACTTCGGTGTAGTGTAGTCACAGTACACTCAATCACTTATAGTGCAAAGTCTTACGAGAGTATCCTTGTGAACGGCAGCAATTCAGCACACATACATAAGCGATTATAACACTTTTTCTCTATCAAGAATAGTTAGGATGCTGACTTCAATACAGATGTTGATTGCATCAATGTCAATTAAGTTTCCTCTAACATCCCTAGGCTCTGCAGTCTACTAAGCTCTAGCAAACGAAATGGTTTGCTTACTGCAAAGTATGCTGACAGTTCTTATGTGTGTTTCTAGTAGTCAAGAACTGTTCATTTAGAAATAGAATGGCCTGAGAATGTGGACTTTTTTAGATTAATTCTTGTTAAGATGAAAAGCACTGTAATACTAACCAAAATCAGAGTGTAAGTTTCATGTAGGTAGGGATCTTGTTTATAAAATACTTGATCTTTGGTGCCTAGACCCATGCCAGGCACTTGCAAGGCACTCTATGACTGAGCACATTTATCATTAATGGAATGAAAACAGCCTAGCTGTTCACAAGTCGTAATTCAGGGACAGATCAAAAAGTCACTAAGTAAGATATGAGGTCACAAATTCTCTGTATAAGACAGAATAAGAGAGAGCTTTGTTATTAAGAGCAAACATTCAAATTTAGAACATTATGAAGACCATCTTTAAAAATGAGACTTATATTTTGGTTCACATCGATCAAAATTAATCATGTAGTTAAAAGCTTTCTAAAATCTGAAGATGTCTTGGGAACATCAGGAATTAGAAATCTTAGTTCTCTTAGTTTGGGAATTTTTCAGTTTAAAGTGTTTCTGTAGCTATGAGAAGGCTTTTTAAACATTATTTTTGAAATCCATTTCTATTTCAAAATAGTGCTCTTTGTTTTTCATAGTAAGAAGTATTTAGGAATAATATATCTCCCACAAAACCAAAAACTGATCAAAAGGTCTGTTCTAATCAATACTGCAAATACTGAGCAAGAATATCCTTTATTGGGATACAAATTGCACAAGGCACTTTCCCAATAAGTGCTTTTCAAATATCTTTAGATTTTCTCAAATATTATAATTCACCACAGTTCAAATTATTGATTCTCTCTTGTTTTTCCAGAAACATATTGAATGACTATAAAATAATCATTTGAAATTTATTTAAAAAGAATTAAGTAAAGCTACTAAGTTTTTTTCCTGTTTGATTTCATAGACAACTATTTATGACTCTAGAGTCAAAGAGCAATTTCAGTTTATGCAAACCAAGGTATCCAAATGCAGCAGCAGGAGTGACTGAACTACAAGCTCCTGGTAATGCACCCTTACATTGCAGCTGTTAAAAATCCCTTTTACAACTAACTTAACAGTACAGCAATGTTATTTCTAAGTCATAAGAGGAATGGAACTAAAAAATCATGTATCATGGACTTTTATTTAAAATGGTACTGGGTTAGATTTAATGCACTCATATGGGAATACAACTCCAAAAAAAAAATTCTCAACATTCCCCAAGGTCAAGGTGAGCAGACTACCCTGTCTCCTGGCCGTGCGTCACAGATGTCTGACTCTGTTTCATGGTGGATTCTCTAGATGAACATCAAAAAGCACAGAAAATAAACGTAATGCCTATCCTGGATGGAAAATAGTTTCCTGTTCTCAAGGGGAAGATGTTTTTCTACAACTCAGGGCACATACCTACTGTGAAACTCAGCATTCACCTGTCACAAACAGCAGTGGCATTTGCAGTTTCTTGTCATCTCCGATCAAACCTTTGAACAGTTAGAACTAACGCCTCATTGTTCCTGAATTAGACATAACTCACAAATTCGGAAGCAGTGGGGCTGGTGAAGACAATAAAATTCAGTCTTCAGACAATCAGTTGTGATTTTAGTTAAATTTTTGCTCCCCTTGAAGCTTGAAATAGATGAACACTCATTGCTGTTATTTTTTAATTTTTTTATTCTGTCATATTTTCAAAAGTTTACTCTCACTGCCAGATTCTTGCCACCAAATGCATCACTTTTCTTCCAGGTAGTTAAACTTAATTCCTCCTCCCCCCCACGTGGATGAAGAATTTAAATCGATTAAATATGGAGGGGCACAAAAGGAACTCTTTGAATTTATCCTAAGTAACTGAGAGACATTTGCCAAAAGCATTTTCAAGCACAACTGTTCTTTTTTTCCCACTGTTTATTTATTTATTTTCATCTACTTGAATTGGGGGGTGGGGGACCGGAAATAAAGAGAGAGGGAGATATTCCACAGCCAGATCTTCCAATCCAATGCCCACCACAGCTGAGTCTAGGTCAGGCAGAAGCCACAAGCCCAGAACTCCGTCTGAGTCTCCCACATGGGTGACAGCGGGCCAGCATCTGAACCACCTGTGGCTGCCTCCCGGAATGCACCAGCAAGAAGCTGAACTGGAAGCGTGCTAGAACTGGCCCTTGGCACTGCAGGCTTCCCAAGCAGAAGCTTAACCAGCTGAGCCACGGCATGTGCCCACCAGAAGCAATTGTAGAAATCAAACATAGTAAAGAATTCTAAGTAGCACTGTTCCCTTAATATTTTAAATCTTAAATATAAATTTATAATATCAGTGTTATCTATTGAAAACAAAAAGAAAGTCCTAAGTATTTTTAAAACAATTTCCATTAGCAATCTGTTATGCTATCTAATTTTATTATTTTGAAAAAAACTCCTTTACCATATAAACCTGATCTATGCAGTGCTAAGTAGCCATCTTATTTTAACATCTGTCAAATTCATATACCCAATTTTGCATACCTTTGCAGTATTCATTTTATTCTTCTGTCTCTATAGTTTACTGTCTTAATGAGCACAGACAAGCGAACACACAAAACGACCTTGACTATCCTTTAACAGAAGACTACTCAATGAACAACAGTATTAAAGAGACCCTATACAGACATCAAGAGTTTGTAAGACATCTCTTAAGGTGGCATTACCACTCTGGCAAGCAATTTGGCTCTGTGGACCACGGGCCTGGAAAGTGTCAATCTGTCTTAACAAAGTGGTCCCATATCCATCAATGAACTCCAAGGAAATAGTCATAAGTGAATATACAGTGTCACTGTTTGCAACAGAAAAACAGTAAAATCTATAGTAAACTGGGTAAGTAATTTATGGTGTGTAATATATAATAAGCAGTTTATAAAATGATATCCAGTAATATTGATGAACACAGAAAAGCAATTATATTTATGTGGAAGCTATAGAATAATAAGAATAATGTTAGTAGTAGATGTTTCTGAATGCTGACATAGTGAGCAATTTTACTTCTAATCTTTTGTATTTTTATGATTATCATAATAATCAAATACCATAACAACAAAATAATGAAAGCTGTTAGCTTACAAAGATAGGAAATCAATTCAACAACTTAATATGGCTTGTATCCAATCTTTGGATTAGGACAATTAAAATATTCTTGTAATTTGAATATTTAGAAAACATTTCCCATAGCATGTATGATTTTGTAATCAGCTAAAATGTGCATTTAAATGTTTCATCTTGTCAAACCAAGTCTTAATCTTTCTATTGCACTGCTGTTTTTTAAAATGCAAGCTTACTTTTGGTCTGCACTTCTACTCTTGGATTATCACATTAAGACTCCCTAATATAACTGTCCTGACAAAACTGCTCTCTTTATTGCTATGTCGGTCTTGATCTCAATGCATAGAAGTCGGCATTTACTAATGAAAATATGACAACAACCAAGTGATGATGTCCAAACTGAAGACCCCTTTTCTCTTAAATAATAATGCTATGGGAAAAGATCACAGGGATAGGAGAAAATATGAAATTTAAAACCAGGAAAGAAATCACATGTAACTAAAAACTGGAATGTTGGTGCTGGCCTTGTGGCTTAGCGGTAAAGCTGCCCTTTCAGAGGTCAGCATCCATATGGGCACCGGTTCCTGTCCTGGCTGCCCCACTTACAATCCAGCGTCCCTGCTAATGGCCTGGGCAGCAGCTGAAGGTCCTAGTGCTTGGGCCCTTGATGCCCACTGGGAGACCCAGAGGAAGGTCCTGGTTCCTGGCTCCTGGCTTTGACCTGGCTCTGCCCTGTTGTGGTCACTTAGGGTGAACCCGCGGATAGAAGATCTCTCTCTCTCTCTCTCTCTCTCTCTGTAATTCTGACCTTCAAATAAATAAATATTTTTTAAAAAGTGGAATATTATATTCTCATTTTTTGAGCTTATTTATGAACTGTGTGAGCACGGTATTGACAACATTACCAAACAGGAACTCAGATCAGGGAGATCCACTCAGATTTACAAAATACCATGCCCATAAATTGAGAATTTCCAGAAATAATGTCTATAGTTAAGGAAACTACTTTATAGAACTGCAAGTCTTTTAAATCTCCTGTGGATTATCTTACATGAAATACCTGTGAAAGGGTGTGCACATATATTCTCAAATATATGCCTAGTTCTAGAAATCATAAAAATGAATTTACATTTTAGCTCATGAGTGTCAAGCAATCTATAAAAACGATTGCTATCCGAGGGGATCCTCAATTTTAGGATTATCCTATGATTAAGATTCAAGATTGCCTACGATAATTTTAGGCTCTTCGTATTTTCAAAAAGCCTAACAGTATCTTCTAAGTAAAACTACAAACAAATGACCTGGTCTCAGTCCACACACACGGCACTTGGTTCCATGTGCTTGATCTTTCACATCTTTCCTGAGCTATTTTGACAGGAAGTACAACTCTTTGTATGCTGAATTCACTTCTTTTCACTTGCCACCCTTAACTGATGGTGAATGACCTTGTTCAGCTCCAGGGTATTAATTTCTACCAAGTTTTCCACATGTCAGTCTGTTCTCATCCATAGTAATAAGCTGACTAAAAAAAAAAAAAAAGGCTTGACTAACAGTGCACTTCTTTAAGTTCTCCACCCTTCCATTCCAATATCCTATGAACATGAAAAGAAACTAGCATTAATGTATTCAGTAACCCATTGTTCCACTCCCCACCCTAAAAACACCAGTGTATTTTTAGCATATAAACCTCTAACTTCATAGAAAAGGAACATGAACCAATATACTATACTAAACGCAGCAATAGTTTCAATAATTAAAATGGCTTTACAAATACAGATGTAACACTGACAAGGGAGTCTAAGAAATGTTGTGTCTCCCCAGCTTTGTACACTCCTTGACTTACTGTAATTTTTCTAACCTTCCCAATGGACAGGTGTTGTTTGTTGTATAAAATGGAAAGTAATCATTCTTACCTTGAAGCACATGGCAGAACTAAACAGATAGAAAATAGTACAAGTAAACTGTCAACCCCAGTGCTAGGCACCAGTAGAGCACTCAATAAACACTAGAAACTATTATTACATTGTTCATATTTTTCTGAGTAGGTAAAACTTCAATGCATACCACTGCATATTGAACTAAAATTTTCATTAGTGTTAGCTTTGATTCACACAGATCCAATCTGAGTTGTAATATTCAAATAATAGTTCAACTTGTCTTCTTCAAAATGGGGCAGTCAATGTTTTCTTTGGAGACTGACCACTGATTGATTGCTGTTGCTTGGGACAAAAGGCCTTCTGTTTATACAGCATAATGCTGTAGATAAAAGTATTCTATTGAAGTTCACATGCAAATACAGTATTCTAGTACCTGAGAAAGTCCGGAGTTGTCAGTGTGGTTTAGTTGACATAAAATTATCATTTTTTTGTTTGCACATATGTTGTGTGTTTTTTTTTTTCCAGTTTCCTGTTTTGAATGACAGAGGGTTAGAAGTATAGAGTGGGAAGTTGGGGGATGTGCTCCCTTACGAATATTCTAGAATATAGAAGAGTTGAAGTTTGGAAGGAGACAGGTTGAGGTATAAAATCTTTTAGGTTGAGGGGTAAAATGCTTTAGAAGTGTTCACTTATCTTAAAGAATTCCAGTTTATTGTTTGACGATTTGTTTCATGCATTCTAACAATATTATCCTCATAACATTCAATGTACGCAAACAGACACTCATTTTTCTCTAAAACCACCTAAGTCTCAATTGCTAAAAATGGTGAAACTACAGGTGGATCTAAAAGCAACAAGAGCCAATCTCTGATTTTTTTTTTTTTTGGAGGGAAGCCAAATGCTATTGCCTGCAGTAAGTTAACTTCAGATCAAGGGACCAAAGCCATAATTTGTTGCCTTCAAAACCATTACACATTTAGAACTATACTATCTGTAGTTTGTACATATATGGTGAACATTTCTCTAACTGTCCTATACTGTCTAATACATAGTATATATTTACACATACACAATCTTGATCAAAATTATCTTGGTTTCTCAGAAGATGGATATGTTTTAGGTTCAAATCACAGTACTGAAGACTTGAGAAACACTTTTGACCTGACATAGTTTAAGAGCACAGAACTGGAATTCCGCCTCACTGCTTTATCTGCCAAGATGATTTTCAGTGCTGTGTGCTTGTGGTTCTGTAGTTTTATTGTATACTTTAGCAGTAACATTGTTTAATTTGGTTCTCTGTTTAACTTGAAAAACAATTAAATGCAAATTAGGATTTTTATAAGTAAACCAGTGGGTACTAGTAAAACAGTGGTGCTCGGTTTGAGAACATTAATTATATGAGCTTTAGTCCATCTTCCCCTAACCTTAGAAGAAAAGTCATGGCTATAAGGGAAAAGCAAGATTTTGACTTTGGTCTCTTACAAATTGACTAGGTCCCCATTTTATTTCCTGGAAAAATAGCTTAGCTTTTCCGATCTATGCTGCTGTGGGCAAGACAAATAAAGAAACATGTCAACAACGAAATAAACACAAACGTAGTTGCATCATTACTACATGGGAAGGCTCCTTCTAATAAGGACATGTTGCTATAGAAAGGGCATGTCTTGCATTTCCAAAATTAAAGTGTCGTTTATGGATTGCACTCAAAATGTAATTTCCAGTGGGGTAAGGAACACAACAAATGTATTTTTTTTTGTCTTCACAAGATGTTTGTGAGAGTTCCCTTTCTCATCTAGAGAATCTCATATTCTCATAGTTGGCTGAGAATATTAATATGGAGAAAAATACAACATTTGCAAGAAACAATATGGAGTTTGACCAAGGTTAACAACTAGGTCTTACTTTGAACCTTCATTTGATTAATGAACTAAGTATCTGTTCTCTAAATAAAACTTTATGGTTTTCCTGACAATGGCATGATTCTTAATAGGTTTCTTGTCTCTGGTTTCTAGTCAGATGATTTTTGACACCATTGCTATAAAAAGGGCAGAGTAAATTTACCACGTTTAGAAATGACAGGTGCCAACCAAACACTCATGGACTTCTAAGAGGCACTTAGATAAACTGATGTTTGGTCTTCTTCAGATTATTATTAAGTAAGCATCTTATCAGGATGCTGCTCAGTATATTCGCAGTGCACTTGTGTTCCTAGTCAAAGGAAAACAAATACAACCAATGTGAGATACAAAGCAAGGGTTTTCGCTGCTGTTGTTTTGTTTTGTTACGGATGCACATAATCCCTTGCAGGGAGTGAAATGCCTAGAGGAGAAAGCAATGTGTCTCATTTTCACCTTAGTCCCCTCAGAAAGGTAAGCAGAGCAGGTGTGCCCTGAGCTTGGCACGCCGCAGGTCACTCCTGTCTGGATCTGCCCACAAAGACTTTGCTTCTCATTGGAGCAATTACTCATCACTTCAGGAGATTCTCAATAAAATCAATTGGCCTCATTTTCCTGACCTACAGAGCAGCTTTGTTTAGTGCTAAAATGAGTTTCATGATTCTTATCATTTACCAAATAGCCTGCTCAGTTAATCATCCTTTCTGGAATGAAAAAAGTACTCTATTCATTATATATCCCTTGCTGTGGTTTGAGAATGAATTGGTCCTCAAACTCATGTAAGAGTTTAGTCCCCCAAGTCTTATGTTAACAGAACTACTCCCAAAGCCTTACGTTAACAGCACTACTTCAATGAAAAGCTAATCCAACAGAGTCTCAGGGAAGTGATTATATTGGATCAGGACATTTAGCAGGATTCCCAGTGATCGGATTCTATTGGCTTTACTGGGAGAGACACAGACACATACAGATTTGCATGCTCCCTATCTCTTGTTACATGATGCACTGTGCCTGAAAGAACTCTATCACCAGATGCCAAAGGCAAGGGACCTGCCCAGTCTTGGACTGTGAACCTCTAGAACTGAGAGCCAAAAACAAACAAACAAAGTAATTTCTTTAATAAAGTTAGCTTGCCTCAGGATTTCATGATAGTAGTGAAAAGCTGACTGACACACCATCAACTCTCCAGGAAAAAACATAGCACCACACTTCTCAGGATCCAATGGGTTGTGTTCTTGGGCCCTTGACACTCAGACCAATGCGTTTGGTCCACTATTCTTTTTTTTTTAATTTATTATTATTATTATTATTATTTGACAGGCAGAGTGGACAGTGAGAGAGACAGAGAGAAAGGTCTTCCTTTGATGTTGGTTCACCCTCCAATGGCCGCCGTGGCCGGCGCACCGCGCTAATCCGATGGCAGGAGCCAGGTACTTATCCTGGTCTCCCATGGGGTGCAGGGCCCAAGCACTTGGGCCATCCTCCACTGCCCTCCCGGGCCACAGCAGAGAGCTGGCCTGGAAGAGGGGCAACCGGGACAGAATCCGGCGCCCCGACCGGGACTAGAACCCGGTGTGCCAGCGCCGCAAGGTGGAGGATTAGCCTAGTGAGCCACAACGCCGGCCCACTATTCGTTTTATAGTCTTTGAGACCTGTAAACCACGCTCCTTCTGTGTATTTGGTATCTCTTTTCTTTGCTCTGCACTCTTGAGTAGGGGATCTTAGGTGAAGACAGTGGGTGGATGTGAAAGACAAAGGAAAAATGCTCAGAAGATGATAACCTTTTAACATGCAAATTATCTAGGATGAGTTCAACATTTGCAGTGACATGCACAGACCTGCAGATACACGTGGGATTCGCAGTGCCTGAGCTAGCCTGCTTTTAGAAAGTATCGGTGTAAGTGGAGAGTTGTAGTCTTCGCATGGTGACCTTCAGTGTGCATGCTTCCTCTAGAATGAAGAAGATGAGAAAGAGGCAAACAAAATAGCCAACAGAAGAGTAATGAACCATTTCATGCTGGACACATAGAAACATGAGTAAAAGAGAAAGTGGACATCTGAGAGAGAGAAAAGAAGGGCAAATCTCCTCATATTAAAAATGCATATATTTGTAGGTTTTAAATATTTTAGTAAAATCGCTATTCATATGTTGAATCCTAAGTATCTAAAATGCAACATTACCAAAAGTGCCTACATTACAGTTTGTGGTACCAAAGTAACACAGACGCTAATAACTGCACCCTTTATTCGAAGGGACTCATTGGGCATCACCATGTAATCTGACAGGAGGAAAAGCCAATCAGCACTAGGCAGGGAAATATATCTCCAGCAATATCCAGTGGGTGGGAACTAACTAAAGGGGAAACAACATAATCTCAACTCACTGGCTCCATCTGTCCTTTCAAGAGAAAGGCAAGAAGTCCTAACGAGAAGCATCTCCAACTATTAAGGCTCAATTTGTGGACCAAAAGGTATTCTACTGGACAGATACATTCACTGTTCCAAGCCTGCTCTGACAGGTGCAACGCTGTAGGGCAGTCAACTTTGTCTTACTAATTCTCTAAGTGCATCAATTTTCTCAAGTGATGACATCATCCTTGACTATCTCCCACAGAAACACAATTATTGTCTCCTACTGTCTAGATTAAAGCATTGACTCCAGCCTGATGCCTTGATGATACCAACAGTCAGCCAAGTCCTTCTAACCTTGGCCATTCCCTCGTCAATATCTCTACTGGTCAAAACCAGATCGATCTTCCTAAAATCTGTGAAACACATCCATCCCTCTGTTCTAAAGCTGTGAGGGCTGCTCACTTGAAGTTGACCTCACTGTTAGGTAGCTTCTTTGACGATGATAAGATCATCCACTTCAAACCTTTTCCAGGCAATGCAACATCCCTGTGAATTGCCCTGTATTTGAGGGCAAATGGTCAGGATTAGAATCCTGACCTCACCTTGTTGCAGGGTGATGTGGGGCAAGTAACTGACATTTCCTCAGTAAAACTCTGCAGCAAGGTTGGACAGATGATTTTTTTTTTTTTAAATGTATCTTCTTCTCTTGGTGGCTGTGAGGACCAATGGCAACCATCTCAGGAAAATGCCCAGCTCTTGATGCTCAACAAATGCAGAGATTAGTATCAGACACTTGTTTATACCAACATCTCAGGTGCAATGTATCCCTCTCCTCATCGTATTTCTTTACGTCTTGCTCAGATTAACCCTAAATGCGTCTCTGAACCAACAAATCAGCATGCCAATATTCCCCTAGAATCTGTTTCATGTTTTCTGCATGAAATTTTTTGTAGAGTGAGCCTTCAACCATGCTGCACTTCCTTAGGTAACTACCATGAGCCTGCTATGAGTCTAAAAGGAGTTGCATTAAATTTTTCAGGTTTTAAGATTACTGAGGTTCTGAATTTATTCATCTGGTCTCTACAAGTGGAGTGTAAGACCCATGGGGACAGAAATGCTATCTTGCATTTTTTATGTAACCACAGAGAGCCAAGTCTGAAGCTGGGTAGCTGTTGGACACCTATTTCTAATGTCTGCGAAGTCTGCATGTATATACCTCAGTACTGCCAGACCCTGACATCTCTGCTTGCAGTAGGAATTTACCAGCCCCTCACAAACCCAGAGTGGGTTAACACGAAGCCTCTGGCGACTTGACTTCACTACCTTTTCTTCTTGCACTGTTCCCCCTTCACACTGATGCTCTTGTGGGTGTGACATGAAGTCAGGAGATGAACAATCAGGACGCTGGTGGCAGAAATTCTGTAATAACACAATGAATAGGTTCATGGTCTACACTAACATTATTGACAGATGTGGCCTATGAACAGGGAAAAAAAAGACTGAAATGGAGTAAAAGAGAGACTTCAATTTAGCGGATGTATCATTTCACAAGAGAAATCACATTGTGTAGCAGCAATAGCACTGAAAACTTGGCAAAAACTATCAAGTTGTTGGAAGGTTGTTATTTACTGACCTCACTGAGATAAACTTCAAAAAAAACTTCATTTTTACATAGATAAGGTGAACAAATTTCACCCACACTCCTGTTCTCCTCCTTCCTTATTCTTTAATTTTTTAATGATATACTTTCAGTTTATTTTATAATCATAAGCTTAACCCTCCATTAAGTAAAGATATCTTATCCATCAGTCACTATTCCTTATCAGACAACAAATGACTTAAAAGAGCTGGAATTCCCAGCCTCTCTGAATACTCTTGAGGTCTTTGCTCAATACTTTATGAAACCTTTTGTCTTAAGAGAGTTAGAGGGGCTGGTGCTGTGACTCAGCGGGTTAACGCCCTGGCCTGAAGCGCCCACATTCCAGATGGGTGCCAGTTCGAGACCCGGCTGCTCCACATTCGATCCTGCTCTCTGCTGTGGCCTGGGAAAGCAGTAGAAGATGGCCCACGTCCCTGGGCCCCTGCACCTGTGCGGGAGACCCAGAAGAAGCTCCTGGCTCCTGGCTTTGCAACGGCTCAGCTCTGGCCATTACGGCCAATTGGGGAGTGAACCAGCGGACGGAAGACCTCTCTCTCTCTCTCTCTCTCTCTCTCTGCCTCTCTTCCTCTCTGTGTAACTCTGACTTTCAAATAAATAAATAAATCTTTCAAAAAATAAAAAGAGAGTTAGCTTATTTAAGAAAATTATTCTTGACATTAGCCATCCTGACTTACTGGATCCCAGTCATGCTAATAATTGCCTCTGTAATTTCACAACAGAACATTTGTGTCATTTTCTTCTGAAAAAAAAAGAGGACTAAAAGTATTTATGTTGTGAATATATATTTAAGAGTAAATGAGGCCGGTGCCATGGCTCACTTGGCTAATCCTCTGCCTGCAGCGCCAGCACCCAGGGTTCTAGTCCCGGTTGGGGCGCTGGATTCTGTCCCGGTTGCTCCTCTTCCAGTCCAGCTCTCTGCTGTGGCCGGGGAAGGCAGTGGAGGATGGCCCAAGTGCTTGGGCCCTGCACCTGCATGGGAGACCAGGAGAAGCACATGGCTCCTGGCTTCAGATCGGCACAGTGCGCCGACCGTAGCGGCCATTTGGGGAGTGAACCAACGGAAGGAAGACCTTTCTCTCTGTCTCTCTCTCTCTCTGTCTAACTCTGCCTGTCACAAAAAAAAAAAAAAAAAAAGAGTAAATGAAATAACACACATGAAACAAGAGATAAAATACCCCGTAGGTAATGCTATAATAAGTAAGAGATATCATTTAACTGAGAAGTATGCCTGAGACAAATTCTTTCCATCATGAAAGGCAGATGGATTATATCTGAGGATATTACAGAAAGCAGTGGAGGTCGGGGTAGCACACAGGTATAATGCTCACAGAGCGGGTCATCATGACCAAAGCGTTTTCTTTCCATGCAAACTTAACATTCTTAAGTGAATTCTATACTTTCTTGAATGAGTTTATTCTGGGGAATAAATCCCGCCAGTATTCAACAGACAGTTAAACTTATTAACACATCCCTATGAGAGGAGCACTTTATGTGCCAATAAATTTAAAATCAATATAAAGTTTTTTCTCTCCTTCAACCTCCTAGTTTATTTTTATGTCCTCAATTCACATTTTAATTCATTCCTCACCACATTTTTGTACATTTCTCCCAACCTACAATGCCACTTGGAGTATGAATTTGCATGTATTTGCACTGGAGTAGCATACAACTATATTCTTTGAGAAGGCAGTCCCTGAACACAACACTCAAAGAGAGCAATATGAGAAATTCCCATCTCAGCCTCCCTCTTTAAGTAAATGAAAACACTTCAATCCTACACTATTTCTAGATTAACATGGCTTCCAATATCCATCGCTTGTCAATCATCCTGGTAACAACTCTAAAATTTTCAAAAACCAGAGGAAAACCAAGCCACCTAGGGCTTAACTAGAATGTCCTGGTCAGAATGCTCCATTTTGTACTTGCACTCCAAAGAGCATGACAACATAATCTTAAAACCAAACATATAACTTCCTACAAAGTATTTCTCTCCTGCTGAAATTACCAACAATGATTCAGATTCTGAAAACTGTAACTGGTTACCATTTGAGAAAGAACATTCAGTTGGTCCACTTTAATTCTTCTAAAAGACGCCAGTTATATCTGAACCAACACCACGGCTGCCCTGCATACCAAGAGCTGCGCAGAGAGACGATGCTCTGATCTGTGTCTAGAATGGAACACTAGGACACGCCAGCTGCAGACTGAACATTGTGTATCTCTACTCTTAAGGAGATGTCTAGAAAGCTCATAACTTGTGGTCATCTGTCTTTTTTGTTGAGGAATGATTTGACTCACAAAAGGTAGTGTGCAGAAGGAGAGAATGAGGCAACACCGAGCCTTGCTCTTCTCCCTAACAACCCCACCTGCGACAGGGGGCTGCCCACGCTCTGCACGCACTTCCCATGCTTCCTGAAGGTGTCACCAGGAGGGTTCTATTTTCAAATGGTCACAAAAAGAAAATGAAGACAGAGGGCTATTCTTGAAGTGAATTCAATTAATATGATGCTCACTAGCCATAAAATAACAGTTTCTAAGGACAAAATATATCTTTTAGTGGTATGTGGGATTTCAGGAAACACAGGATTTAGAGAAAAGCTGACTTTCTGAAATTGAGGACATGCACTTTACATGCTTTATCCAGCATCAGCACTTGTAATGTGGCTAGCCTGATGGAGGAACTAAGTGTTGAAGTTTAAAGTTTATTTAAATGCATTACCTTAAATTAGATTAAATCGTAAACAGACACATATAGTTACCATATAAGACAACACAGGCTGAGCACCATCATTCAAATCTACCAAGAGTGTTTATACAATGCTTAATTTTTTCCCAAAAGTATTCTTTAGGGAACTGGATCTCAAATCTGTGTTCTTGACTATACAATTGCAAAGTCAGTGTGAAATAAAAATAAATCTATCATCCACTAGTTGAAACTGCATGAAACTTAATGTGTTTGACCTATGGACTTTTTTCTCCGTGTTTGCTATGGCATTACAGAGAAAGAGGAAAGTAAAAAGAAAGCAATCAATTGTTTCCTTTTATTTTGCAATCAACATTTCCCTGCAGTTTGTTATCTGAAAGCCATAAGAAAAACCAGACTAGAGAATGGAAAACAAGAACACAACAATAATAACAAATAGGAGTATGTGATGGAGAGAGAAAATGTACAGGATTAAAAACAGTGACCTTTAATTCCCACCAGTGTTCAGACTAGGAGGCACATGCATCAACAATCAGACAAAGTGGGAAGATGACAAGTTTTAAAATGCGTTTTGCCAGCAACCACAGGACCAAATAATTCTGACGTTTCAAGGGCCCTTACACATTATCCACTTCCATCTGTCCTGCAGATCTATGTAATTTGAAACCCAGAGAAGTAGAGCTCTCAGAGTCCCTGGGATAATAGCTAAGCTTGGGCCCAGCTGTCGGGTGGGTGCTTACTCCACTCTGACTTGCCCACTGCCTCTGCTGAGCAGAGTGGTGCTCCAGTGGACAAAGAGCCTCCTCTCCACCTCCACTTGTCCTGACCTCTGGTGAGCCGGTGATAAAGACGATTTCAAACCACACTCCTCGCTGGACACAAAGGCTCCCTTCCCTGCCGGGGCATTCCTAAAGACCGTGCAATTTACACAGTTTACCAAACACAGCGTGAAAAGGGGGAATTATAAAAGAGAAGGCTTACATGGGAATAATTTTTGAGTTTACGCTGCCCTGAGCTATAGAAGTAGTTCACACTACACTCAAAAGACGTACGGGTTCAAGAGAGACATCTCCAAGTTTTAAAGCAAATGACTACTGATGTAACTAGGCTTTGGCGACTGAAGGGGATGATGACAAGATATTAAGATAAAAGCACACAAGCATTTGCAGGAAAAGAAAGAAGCGACCATCCTCATTTTGGAGTTGAAACTCAGATACCATCTAGCCCAGAACCCTCGCTCTACCCACAAAAACTCTGTGAAGCCAGATTTTAAATGGCTGGCTCCAAGTCACCCCTCAAGCAAGCAGAATTGGATTTTAGGCTCCATGTTCAGAGGCCTTTTTTTTCTTTGACTTTTGTTTTGTTTTGATTTTACTCTAGAAACCACTATAGGACAGATGACTATAAACCAAAATAATAAGAATGATAATAATAATAAAAGACAATTATCCTGCATATGTCATGATTGTTTAAGAATGTCCATTTTCGAATTGAGTCATATTTTGACAAAAAATTTCCCATGATTTTATATGCAGTTTCAAGGGGTATTGGTGCAAGACAGAAAATTCAGGAGCTGTGTGAAAGACCAAGAAATAAATCTACTTTATTGTCTGAATTTTGCAGACTTTTCTGGTTCTCAGATAATCTTCTGCAGATAAATGCCATACTACTGCTGATAAGAGCAAGCGTATAAATAACACTGCACATTTTAAATGTCATGTACTTTGAATTTTACACTGTGCTGTTATAAATGAATCCATAAGAGGAACAGAGAATGCTAAGTAAATACTGTCATAGGGCTTACATTCTGGTGCTGCTGGTCTTGTTGATGATAACCGATTTTCCTGTTTGATCCACATTATGATCCAATCCAAAGTAAGCTGCCACTCGATGGACAAGCATCCTCTGATACGATGACATCTGAGGGAACTTTTTGTAATGATTACTGGAACAGAGTCCAAGAGAAAGTGGAGTCAGCATTTTTATTTCTTGCCCACAGTAGGTCTTACAGGTGCACACATACAACTGTTTCTCTTTCATTCCGGCTACCAAGCCTATCTCATTTCTGGCATTACTTAATGTCCTCATTTCCAGACAAATTTTCCACTTATTATAGATTTATTGATTACGCTGCAATAAGTATCTTTGTTTCCCAGTTACACATTTCTCCTGCCAGAGAGAACTTGACGCTTGTGGCAGACTGTTCTATTTCAGTCCATGGTACCTTATCAACGGAGCCAGGCACAGGACAAATGATGTGACATAATAGGTGATTGCAGATGCCTATCTGGACATGTGTCATTACACGGTTCATGCCGAAAGCAGCACAATTATTTCAGGCATAACTGACTGCAGCCAGCTGGAGCCCATTAAAAAACTATAATAAAAATGAAAAGGGTCGTGCCCTGGTACAGCTACTCTATGCTGATCAGTGGCCCCCTGTTCACAGCCCTTTTGTCAGGCATTTAAGAAGCAGGAGCACACATGGGCCAAGCAACAATTCCCGTCAGTGTACAGCTCCTCACTCCAGTAACATCCCTGCTTTACAAATAAAGACACATATTATGTAGCCCTACATCATTTTGGAATGAATAATTTAACCAAAACACCAAGCTAAGACCCATGATAAAATTAACAGGCATTGTAAGTGAACATACTTGTTGTCACCAATGAAATCAATAATTTCCTGCTCCATTTTCAAAAGTATCATCCTGTCCCTGCAAAATAAATGTTAAAATGATATAGATTTATGTATTCTTCATCCTCAAAGATCTAAATAGCTCATTACATGCGTAGAAAAGGTCATTTAAATGTATATGACTACACACCTATACACAACTTCTCTATGTAACACTCGGCCGAGTGTTTACACACTACTTCTTTCTGTTTATTATTTCTTATCTCATTTGCCAAGTATTTTGTAATATCTAAACTTTGTACTCTTAATGTAGATCATGACATGGCCATAAACCACATCAAATAAGTAGTATATTTTAAATTTATAGGAATCTAGAACAAAGCAGTGTGTAAGTATTTGCTGTGGATAGATATGTTAACTGCATAACAAGATGCATAATGGGTTTATTTGATATTAATAATTTTCATTCTCTAGTTCCTCTGTGTGATCTGGAAAGCAGAGTGTAAGTTATAATGTATTGACTACCTAGATACTAAACTGACAAAGTGTAAACGTGTAAGCCATTAACGGAACAGAGAAAATACAGGAGATAGTTCAAGAAAACAGGGAGGGAACCGACATTTGACAACTGTCCTCTCAGAAGTGTTTGGATTAATTTTTACATTTTACTTGTAGAAATCTCTACTTAGCAGAGCATTAAATCTTTGGCTATAATGTAAATGAAAATCTGTGATCTCAAAAATTAAAAAAAGAAATGATGTAATAAACTTGATTGTAATATTCTACCTGACCTTCTAGAAGTAGGGGGTTTATATAACAGTTTACCTGGAATTATTCTTTAATGTGTTAATCAGAAATTCATGTAAGTCTATGCCTGTAGAATCCGTATATTCTTGACTGCAATCTGAAACAAAGAGCAAGATGGAGTTGTCAGGAATGGTAGTGGGAAGGTGGGGTGGAAAATGCCCCAGCCTTTCCCATTTCTCTCCTGCTCAGGAAAATTTTAGAAGCAGCTATCTGTATGCATATTTATTTCAAGGCTAGAAACTCGGCAGTATCACATCAGAACAGAAATGTGGCTCAGAAGCTGACACCATTGAGGGACGCCTGACGGTGGACAGACCCAAGTGTCACAGGAGGGAAGCGGGCGCCCTCTGAGTGCAGGTGCAGGGTGGAGCCAGACACCGCGTGCTCACCGCGGGCGGTAAATCGGCAAGAGCACAGGTGGCACGTGACAGAGACGGCTCAGGGGCTGAGCTCCCACGGTGAGGTTCTGTGCAAGACGGTCCCACTCTCACTGCTAACCAGTACAGGGCATACAAGGGCCCTAACTACTTCCCAGCTTTGCAAATCTCCTGACGTGGTGGAAAGTTTACTTTCTAAAACCCTTTTAGGGGTCAATATACCTTGGTTTTCAGATGTTCAGAAGCAGAGACAACCATTAGAAAGAGATAGATAGGGCATGATATTAGCAGTGGTTGCCATTGCCGATCCCCCTGATTAGACAGATGCCCTAGTCTGCCAGTGATTTAAAAAAAAAAAAATTCTACTGCAAAGCTAATGAGTCATGGTGCTATTTTGGCTTAACTTGGTGTTGTTTTGTACAATATGTATGACAACAATTTGAAAGGTCCAGATCGTGGATTTGTGGTCATATGAAGGAATGACTTTTTTGGGGAAAACTATTTAGTGAAGTAAAAGTATGTTTTTTGTCTTTTTTATTTAGTACAACATTATATGATGTTATGTGGGTGCAGAGATAAAATTCATCTGCGCCAGGTGAAATATCAGTCATTCATTTAATTGACATATACATCTGTGCTTTGGTGACCACATCACTTATTGATTAAGAATTCCTAATGCATCATTACTATCCCTCAAATCAAATAAGCAATAAATTTGAATTAAAAGCAGTTTATGTTTATTTGTAAAAGCTTCTCATGGAAAAAACTGGATACTCAAATTTAAACCACCCCCCCCCCAAAAAAGGTAATTCTAAAAGTAATCTCTCTAGCTACACAAATATTGACAACATGAACAGAAAGAAAATCAAGTCCACATTTTTTACATACACCTAAATACAAATGCAAAATTTTACACAGCATTTGGTGGGAAGTCATTATGCATGTGAAGTCTGAGATATTTATTGTGGCTACCTGTGTGCCCCAAATGAGTGAGTTAAGGAGATGTTTTCACATTCACCTTTCGATAACATTCTGATCTTGGGCTTTTCAGAGGATTTATCTTTGTTTTTATCCTTTTCCTTTTCTCTTTCAGAGTCATCTTTCCTAGATTTATCCTCCTCTTGTAGGCTGGGGAAACTGGAAAGCTGTAAATGAATTGATTCCTGTTGGGGAAAAAATATAATAATTTAGGGCCAGATTTAATAATCTCTATCTGGTTTCCATTTTGCATAGAAGTCACTGAGTACAAGAACATGAAAGCCAGGTGCAGATTTTTTCTTAAATGTTAAAAAATTAAACCTGTCAGAAAAGTAATTGCCCTTTAAGGTGGATTAAACTTCAGAAGTCAATGGGAGGGCATGAGAAAAACCTAGCATTAAAACTTTGCCTCATGAATATTAACTTTAACCAAGCTAAACTCCGGTAGATCACAACCCTATTTTCTCAACAGTTCTATTTTTAAACACCTAGGAAAATTTCTTTTATAAGTAAACTGGTATCACATTCACTCTCTTTAAAAAAAAGCTTCTGCAGCTCTCTTCTATAATTCCTTCTAAGGAGAAATTAACACAAACACAGACAGACGGATATTATATTCCTAATTACAGACAGACCAGACATAAAGAACACCCAACAGCCAATCTGCAATAAGAAGCCTACTTTAGAAACATGCCAACGATGATTTCTACTTCCATGAAAAATAAAACTATGTAACTGTAGGAATATTAGATGAAGATTTTGATCATAACTAGTTACAAATCCCATTAGTAAATCTTCTGAACATGTAGTCATAATAAGCATTGCCTTTAGGAAAAGGTAGGAAGTAGAATTATATTTTCCATAAATTGCATGTAACTATTTAATATTATTACTTTAATAGCACTTAATCCTCTTCAAACTACAAGATCCTCTTCAACCAGCGCTTGGCCAATAGGTATCAGGGTGGGATCTATTTTTTTTGCATTTATTTTGCACTAAAAACAGATTATTTTGTATGAACTCTCATATATTAGTCATTTAGTTGATACCATGTTCTCTGTTTTGAAGAAGAATAAGCCAAATCATGTTTTTAAAATTTTTTTGAAAAAATTATGCTATGATTAAAACTATGACAAATTACCCAACATTAAGCCCACTTCTTCTTATGTAAGAGATCACATGTTGGGAAAGCTGGCTTCCACAAGTGACATTAAAATTTATGATGCAAGAAAAAAATATTCCCAGTGACTAAGTGTCTTTCACTGAGACTGAACTAATGCTCCCTCTACATGTGACTGAACTGAAGTGCTTCCTTAGACTGGCTGATCCAGAACTCCCCCTGGCCCTTGGTTAAACTGGCTACTCTCACAAGCACAAAACAAAAGCCTGCCTAAGACAAGTTTCTTTCTTGGGAAGGGCTTCATTGTAAACTTCTGGCTGGAACAAAACTACCATGCTTGGGAAGACATAATACAGAGGTGAATTGCGCCCATTTCCATTGGGGTTTCTGACTTCCACACATTTACCCTAGGGATGGACAGCTATAAAATATGTAAAATGCAGTGGGATTTGTTATTGAAACTTTTCTCTCATGCTTTGGAACAGAAAGTCTTAATCTGCAAAGGTTCAGGCCATTTCTAAGGTTATGATTTGCTTCTACCAGCTAAGCAAACTGAGGGAACAGTTCCAGCTCAGAAAACACGGCTGGGCTTGGGGAGGGGGTGTGGAGAATTGGTGGGTCAGTTGGTCAAAAGGGGAAACTGAGGGTACTCAGACCATGAAAGAGGTCTCATTACTTCTTCCAAACCGACTGAATCATCCAGCCTCTGTAAGTTTGAATCTAAAAGTCACAGAGGCTTGAGAATATATTACAAATGCAAAAGCAATGGCTGACCAACATCCACCACAAAAAAAAAAAAAAAAAAATGTCCAAACTGATGCCATGTGTTGACAGCTACTATACTTGAGGGAAAAAAAATTGGTTTGTGCATAAGTTTACATTACGCTGTTGAAAGAACACACAAAAGTGCTATAGAGTTGGTAGAAAACAATCTGTCATTTTTTAATATTTTTATTGATATACTCAATAATAAAATACAAGTTTAATAAATACATCGGTACAGGATAAGGTTATATCCAACAACAATAAAAGAATGATTCAAATTGCAGTAGTACACTGGTTGGTAAATAGTATAACATTAGAAAAGCAAAATTCCTTTAACTTAAGGACAGACTAAACCATCAGGTATGGGTCCGAGATCAAGTAATACAGGTAGCAAGAGATTTTCCCACACAGGAAAATGAAGGCAGTTTTCCAAATACTGTGAACAAAGTATACACACATTGGGTTTAGCGATACAATCCATACATTGTATACTTCCACCAGCGTTCTCTGGGATTCCGTCCACACATTTCGTAAGTGCCAGTGGTACCTAATGAAGGCATTGCATATAAACTCAAAGGTCTGCTTCTTTATTCTCTACCAAAAGTAGCACAAACACTTGCATGTATGTGTGTCTGGGTATTTGCTATCCGTGCCCTGCTCCCACCCCTCTTCAGCTAGGGGAAGGGAAGCTTGCAGGCTCTAATTCTCTCCTACAAAGCTGGTCTTGGTCTCTGAGCTTGGAACCAGCAGGAGCAAAGCACCGTTTGCATCTTACTTCTCTGCACCAATTGTATGGATAAACTAGACTCAGGTCCAGGATGGGCACTATGATACAGACGATCTCTTAACAATCTCTCCTCCTGGTACCTTGTCAAATGGGACTGAAAGCAGATTAAATCTCTAACGGCTGCTCCCCCCTGCCTGGCACTAGGAGTGGGGGCAATGGAGGCGTTACTTCTCCCAGGGTCTGTCACTCTGCAGCGTTCACGCATTTCATGGGCAGTACATTACAAGCTATCAATCCACATGGAATAATACAAGCCATGATATTCACATTATTCTCCCTCTTCAATCTCCATTAGGGATAGAAGCACAAATAAATGCAGAAGAAAAGCCACACATTTCTCAGAGCTCAAGGAAAATAAAGCATGTGGTAGAAAACATAGTATTGGCTACTGAAAGACAGCCTGTCCGTGCCTTATGACATGAGTGGCATGGTAAGGAAATGGATCCAGGGAAAAAAATACTCTTAGGACAAGATCTATAAGGAATTTATTTTTGGTCCTTGTAAAGAAAGTGCTCTCATGCTCTCTGTATTCATGAAGAGAATTTGGAATATTTCAATTAAACTAAAAAGAGACCAGCAGAAACAAAACCAAACAAAAATAATGTCTTAGTCGATTTTCCCTCCCCTGGGCTCAGATAGATTATTTTATTTTTGCCTTGACTGCTCTCAGCCTCTGAAAAAAATAAGCAAATTTCAGCAGCAAGACTATCTTTATAAGAGCTAATGCCATGCCTAAAAGGCAAACAAAGATAAATATGAATTGAAGTTTCCCATTTTCTCAGACAAGAATTTCATTGCAATTTAAACTTTTAGTCTCATAATCTTGCTGTAAGGAGCAAACAGAACGGTAAGGATATGCAGCAGTATATTAATAATGTTAACTTAAATTCACCATCAGCTCAGATTCATTTGGGACACTGTTTGCAATACTGAAAGATCTCTATCAAAGGCCATTAGAAAATAGTTCTCCAAAATCCAATGCACCTCATTTACTATTTCCTAAGTTTCCCGTGAGCCAACAGCTGGGTTTCTTATAGGCAAGTGCATCTGGGGGAGCTAAGAGGTAAGCCATCTCCAACGAGGAAGGAGATGGAAGATTTAAGACCATATTTGGTTCAGCCTTATCAAGAGAGAGCCTTTGAGGAAACTCAGCACTACTGTGCTTGCTTTTTTACTTAAGTTTTAACCTAAATTCTTTTGAATTCCTTTTCACTGGCAGTTTTCAGAGGGTCTGGAAAAAAAACAAATGTAATACTTGGTGACAAACTGTTAAACTAGTTTAGAACGTCTCACAAACACAGGTTGAAGCCAGAAAATCCTCTTTCTCCAGTTGTATTTTTCTCCCCCAAAATGCTGCATAATTCCGGGCGAACAGTCATGCACACAAAGGCGGATCCCGAGCATGCAGCTGAGCATAAAGACAGGGGCTGTACCTGATCCTGCAGTCCTTCACCTCCTGGCCTGGCTGACTCCTCACACACCGCAAGGCTGCGAGTCAGTTTCCCTTTGCCGGCTCCTGACTGGGAGGGAGGGAAGAAAGGGAAGGGAGAAGCAATAAAGGAAACAAACAGAGCACATCCTCGGACCCACTGACCACCTCCACATTCACGTGACTGCCCCAAGTCAGATCTTCAAAGCCAACGTCAGAGCTGCCACTCGGCACTGCCCACATTGGCTCGAAGCATCGGAACACTGTGTTAACAGGGATGCAGGTGAATTTAAGCAGCACCCAGGTAACTGTGCCCATTGCACTGAAACACACAAAAAATAAATTGCTGCCATTTCATGAGAATGTACAGTGGCGAAAAAATGACAAAAAATTAATTTTCACTGATTTGACTCAGAACATGCTGCAAAGGTTGACAATGTGTCTTAAACAGAAGTACCTGCTTACTGCAAGCAGAAATCAATGGGTGAGACCAATTTTACTTAAAATCACAGTAAAATGAGCAGCTAAAAAAGCAGACAAATCTTCAAGTGTGGAAACAGGATCAAAGACACAGCCTTGCAATTAGCTACTCAAACCCTAAATGCTTTAACCCCAAAGCACAATGGAGTGAGAAAGATAAATGTGAAAACAACGCCATCTGAGGCAAGGCAGCACCCGTGCAACTGGGATCTGGCACAAAATCCTCGCAAAACCATCTGAACTGTTGGCAAACCTTTGAACTCTGATGTGAAATATGCAGTTTTATGGTCATGAACCTTACCTTGGATTTTCTTCTTTCTTGGTTCTGAGCTGCCAGCCGCCTCTGAGTGTTAGACACAAAATAAAACAGTCAGCCAAAGACCATGGAGGTTAGGGGAGAAAGAAAAAGAGAGAGAGAGATGTAGATGAAAGATAGATAGATAGATAAAGAAACAATGTCACCGCTGTCTAAAGTCCAGAAACCAGCACAGCGATACGGTATTATAATCACTAGGGACCGCTTCCCCAGACATTTGACAATTTAAGTGTTAGTGTGGCAACTTGTAGAGGGTGAAAACCAGACTTGAAGCTGCATGGCTCTTAGGCGGTTATCTGCCTTTGCTAATCAGGGCACAGAAGGAGAGCTAACACGTTGGTAGTTCAAAGAGAGCCGACACCTGCAGCCTATTTGTAGGTACAGAGTATTTTCTCTCACTAAATCCCTTTCAGTTGTCAATCCTGGCGTATTTACTCCTAACGCATTTTCACTTCCTGCTGTCATTCCAGCTGACCGCCATGTCTTCTAGTGTTTTCTCTCTCTCTGGCTGTGAATTCTAGGGCTGAGGCTTTTTTGCCAGCAGATTATGAATTTTCTCATGCCCATGCAGGTCAAAGGACTTATGTCTCTGATGTTTCTTAGTCGACTATGACTTGGGGCCTCATTTTTCCATAGGATAACAAACCCATTTTGAAATCTCATCCAGTCTAAAGCCCCCACTTAGACCCGAAGGGGGTCTAGGAATTGGTTCTAGCACGCTGTGTGAAAATCCATCAGTTAAATACGTTCCTTGGGTACTTTTCATTGGAAAAAGGCATTTTAGAACCCAGTTCTGTCAGGGTGGGGGATGTTGAAAAAACGGGAAAGGAGAGGATCAGCATTTCGTGGCTGTCTAAGCACGCTGCCAAACTCTCCAGAAAAGAAATACATCACCGAAGTAGTCTGGAAATACAGGACCAGAACCGCAGCGGGACGCGGGGGGATGCGGGGGGACGCAGGGGGACGCGGGGGACGCGGGGGGATGCGGGCTCTCCAGTTCACCTGCAGTTCCAGCTTCTCCTCTTCGTCCAGGCTTTCCGACTTAACGATGCCATTTTCAGGGGCAGCCGGCTCTGGCTCCGTCCCTCCTTCCTCCACTCTCGCCTGATTCAGGTCTCCTCGCTCAGACATCCTCCCAGACGTAAATTAAATGAACAAGGTTTTATGACCTAGAAGGTTAAGACATCAGAAAATAACATCAGTGCAGGCGAAATACTGACTATTATCCTTGAGAGATTTCAGTTCTCCCTTCGCATTTGAACTCAAGTGAATAACTCAGGCATTCCTGCTTAAGTTCATAGAGAAGCAGAGTCAGACAAGATGGAATCAAGTATTTAAGGCACATCCAAGAGGCAGGTGTGGTCACCCTGTCCACACCTTCACATTCACTTGTGACTTCACCTTGCCTTCCAGATGGATCAACAAATCTTAAGTGGAAACAGAAGACTCCCACACAAGTACCAGTCCCCATGCCCCACCACAAAGTGGAAGAAGATAAAAAGAATATTTTTCCAACTTTTGAACAGACGATTCTCTGCTTCTGAATCAGGAGGTGGTACTGATGTTCTGTAGTAGCTCTAAGATGACTCAAAATTATTTGCAAACTTCAGCATTCCCTAGGTATGAGAAATGCCATCCTCTCTACAAGGGGGCAAATATCAGTCAAAGAGGTAATAACTCAGTCTAAATGTAGGACCTAAATCTGGTAATAAACCTTGCAGGGTCAACGTTTCCAGGCTGCAAACTGACAGCTACATTATTAAAAGCATAAGCCCCTTTCCCAGGCTTGTGTCAGTTGCGGGTGCTGCAAGATCCTGCAGAAGGAAGTCTTTGGCAGGCAGCTCTAATGAAGCTATCGCAACTGCACCCGCTCCCGCACGCTCACAATAGACTGCAACACAGACTGGAAATGGCTTTTCAAAGTTAAAGCCTGTTATTATTTTTTTCTCCCTACCTCCATAAAACCCCTGACACTTCCCCTTCTGATGTGCTGTCAAATGAGGCTCATGAATAATTTAGCATTTACTTCCTTCACATTTTTTTAGGCTGCAAGAAAAAAAAAAAAAAGGAGGAAGGGATGAAGGAAGAAATAAAGGAAAGAGGGAGTGAGAGAAAGAGGAAGAGAGATGCTGTAGTTTAGAAAGCCATTTTGCTCAAAAAAATTCCCAATCACTGTCCCACGCCTAGTCATTACAATGGTCAGCATTACTGGACAAATCAGTGTTTTGATGTGTTTCTTTGAGAGTGTTTAATTACCATTTACTGAGGCACCGACTCTGTTTCCAACTAGACCCATGGAGCATGAGAAAAATCTAAACCACAGCGACTTTTATTGCAAATCTGTAAAAATCTACCATGACAGAACAGATGGTACTTAATGCTATCTGTGAAATACACAGGCTCATCTGGCAAAGGATTCTGGGAATGTAAAAGGAAAAGTTTTCCTACAGGACAGAGGTTTGCATCCGTAGTGAACACTTTTGAGTTTCAGGATCCAGGGAATTGTGATAGATTTCAAATCAGCTGCATTCAACATGTATAGTTCACAAAATAAAAAGTTCCGTTTCCCAAAGGCAAGCAGCTTGCATTTCAGACCATTTTGGTAAAAAAGAAAATTGAAAGAAATAACAGATCGGATCAGATTTAAAATGGAGTGAACACACTGAGTCCCACTTTTACAAAGTACAAGCCTAGTGTGCTCCCGACACCAATCCTGTCTGTTTGGGTTATGGTCGGTGAGGTGTCCTGTGCAAACCAGCGCATCGCTACATTACTAATGAAAGACAGATGGGGTGACAGTCAGACAATAGGACCTTTACCTTTCACGCAGACTGTCTGCAGTACGTCTTGGCGACTTACTAGCGGCTTCTGTCGCTCTACACCGGGGAAATCCACACAAGTGATCAGAGACAACTGGAGTCCCATGTCCCCATTAACAGTTCCGAATGCTCATCTCCATGCGACTCCCTTCACACAGTGTGACACCTCATCGTCAACCTGAAAAAAGATGAAAAGTAAATAACAATCATTGCAATCATCATGGGAAGGCGAAGGATGAAATAGACAAGACTGGTTGCTAACACTAATGACCAGCTTCCAGCAAGTCACGTTCACAGCTCTATCCAGCTCCACCTGTCTCAAGCTGCCGGCTTCTTCCTAATGAAGGCTACAGCCGGCTGTTCAAGTCAGAGCGGCACCCACGCAAGGAGCTAAAATTAACAATTGCATTATGCACCCGAGATTACTCACTTCAATTTTAACCTTTTTTAGTGAAATCTCGCACTTCGTATTTAAAAGAAAAAGAAAAAAAAAAACAAGCTTCTGTGTTTGCCTCAATGAGAATCAAGATCACCTATGAGCAAAAGTCTTGTCTCTTCTTTTTTTAAATGAAAGGCTTTGTCTTAATTATAGATTAATATGATATAATCTTTTTTTTAAAAAATGATATAATCTAATGCTATTTCTGTGTGTTTTTTTTAATCTTTAGGAAAGTTACCTTAATGATGTATATTTAGGAGTTTTGATGTAATGAGGCATTATCTATAAAAGTTTTCTTTTTTTTTTAAGGAAAACTTTCACATTGCCTTGGCTGAGAATGCGCTTTTCTCTCCTCCCACAGCTTGGAAAGAAAAGCTCCTAATATTCTGGTGGCGTAGTGAACACAGTCTATGCACATCCCTCCCTTCCCATCAAGACTGCCACCGCCAGCTGGGCATTCTGTTTGACAGCAAGGAAACACTATCAGAGAGACTCAACAGATTTGCAAACTCAGAGCCCGTTGAAAACAATCCATGCTATAATGTGCACTTTCTTTGTCTCACAACTCCTACAGCAGCGGCAGCAAAGACAGACTGAACACAAACACAGAGGTGGGCTCCTAATAGCACTTGCCAAAGCCAAGTTTGATCTCTTTCCTTTTGCTGTAAGTCTACACTGGTGCACGTCTGCCAAGTCCAATAGCATGCACTCCTCTTCATCGTGTGCCTGGCTCTGGAAACTCAACGCAGCACAGTTCTTCCACCCGTAGATTAGAAACCCTCTCTCCCTCCTCCTTGCTATCCCCTCCTTGCAAGTTTAAACGAGCCCGGCTGGCTCCCAACAGGATTTTACTGTGGCTATATTAACAACATATTGGGTTACAAAGCTATTTGTTGTGTGAGAGAAAAACAACTGTAGAAAACGCAATCGCTTATATAGTCAATAATTTCTAGATTTCTCCATGTTTCATTAAGACACATAATTTGACTTTAAAATGTTTCTTTTGCTGTTAGAAATTATATAGCTATTGGGAGATGAGCAAACAAGCATTTAGGACAAAAATGAATTGCTAATCAACAATAATTTTAATTTTTCAATTTTGACCCATTTCATCTTGGCTATCATAACTAACACTGGATATTAAACACAAGTCATCATTTGTTAAAATTAGGATCTATTTAACTAACAAGTCCATTATCTAACATGCCTTAGAATAAACATGAGTGATGGATGGAATTACCAAATGCTTTTAGATTCTTTTATCCTTTTCCAGAGTTGAATGAAGTTATCAACGATCAGGCAGCCTCTTGCCTCCTTTGCTGACCCTTGTATGTGCAAAGTGGCATTTAATCCAGCAGGTAGATGCAAATGCATTTTCCAACTCTAAGCCCTATATGTAGAAGTCCAGCGTCAGTGGGAGGATGCAAGATATAATTCCTCCCATGAAGAAAGAGCAAACTGATACGCACAGAGCTGGAACAGCCTGGGTATGTGTGTGTGCGTAATCACCAGGACACGTTTTGAAATAGCACTGGGCTCTAAAGTCAGCGAGGTATTATTCTTGCATGCCTGAATCATAAAGTCATCATCTACCAAGATAAAAGAGAATATGGGCATATGGGAATGAGCAGGGAGGAACATATGGATCACAAATATTTTTGTAGCTGATTAAAATTGTTCTCTTTGCTAAGAAACCAGTGCCAGGAAATCAGCCCTACTCCAGCTTTCTGTTCGCCAAACTAACCCGACTCTTCCACTGCCATTTAATCTTGATCTCTTCCAACTCCTTCCATTTCCACACAGAACCAACGCTATAAACAGATGTTTTTTCTCCAGGATTTTGTTAGCAAATATTCTGAACAAATCTCAACTGTTATAAAATAATCAAATAACGAATTCACTATAATGACTTATAGTGGAAATGTTATTGTAACCATAACGTTTGAAGTGGCATTTAGAAAAGGCCATCAATGCTTTACAAAACAAGATGCAGGAAGCTGATCAACAGGGCTGTCTATCACTTACAAAGAAGAAAATAAGCAAAATAATTACCATGTCACATTATATTTATGTTGTTTCTTATTTCTTTGGCAATTAGTATTACCGGGCTAAGAAAGAGAGAGGAGGCACACTACAAAACATAACATGTTCTATCTTTCAACACTGTCAACCAAAGAGACGTGTCCCAACTTTGTGTATGTGCATGTGTGTGCATGAATGTGTATACAAGTGTATCACGTTAATTCCTATGATGATGTGTAGGGAAAGAAAAATCATATCTCAAATGATATGTAAAATTACAGTTGAATTCTATTAGTGAGTTGAGAGAATTGCTTTATTAGTCACTTTCCTCACAACACTTGTACTAAAAATTAAGACAGGGATAACTAATCTTACCCCAAATCAGCAAAATAACTTTAGGATGAAATAACACAGCCAAGGTTTGTTTATTTGGACAACTGAGAAGTTTCTTACACATATACTGTTCTTTTTTTTTTTTTTTATCCTATTATAGTTCCACAAATGAAAGCCACTTTCATATCATGGTGACAGTAATGATTTGTCAATTTATTCAAAAACTGAAACATCATATAAATCAAAATATCTTATTCTCACAGTAGTTAATTTATTGTAGTTTTCACAAAAATGTTTGAATGTGCAAAACTGAGGATAAAGAGAGTTTAAAAAAAAAAAAAACAAAAAAACAAAACTAAGAACCTGGAAAGTAGCCCCTTAGAATCTAGATCAACATGTATGATACAGTGCACAAACTAAGTCTGTAGTAAGTCTGAAATTCACCAAGGGTGACAAAGCATCAGTGAGAAATTTTCACAGTGAATCTCTCAAAAACATTTTTTATCTCTCAATTCATTTATAAGAAACACTCAACTAGGAGCTGCACCTTTTAATTAAACTTGTTGGTCACCTGAGCGCACAGCATTATGTGAGATTCTTGAGCCACCAGGCAATAGACAAAATTTCCGAAAACTATTTTGGAGGAAGAACCTAGAAGGGCATTTAAGAAAAGGATTTTATTTTAGGGTTTTGGGGAATAGTGATATTCTTGTTTAAGCATTAATCTCAGAGCGAGGCAGTATCTACAAGCATCTAGTAGTTCCTCTGCACAGTCCCCCTTTTTCTCCTTTAGCTATTACAGTAACTGCAAAAGTAACACAGTCCAGATGCTAGGCTAACATTTAGCAGAATTGCAACAGTGAAAGGAACCGATGCCAAAGCTTTGGCCCTAATACCAGATGCATAAGAACAAGAATGCTTCTAAAACTCAGCAAGGTCTGATACCAGGAAAACAACTGAAGAATGTGCCAGTGTTTCACCTCGTCATTTCATAACCAGTCTTGCTAGATCTTTGACTGTGTTCAAGAATGTTCTAAATCATGCCATGATATTCAGGTCCATGAACACAACCCCACTTAGCTGTCTTTCTCATTCTTAACTATGATATAAATTAAATAAATAAATGCACATAGCTGCAGATGAAAGGCATAAAATGATAACGCAAACAATGAAACTGGTGTCCTGCTTTACAGAATTTCCTGTGATATACTGAAGGCACACACGCGCACAGACTAAGTCTATGACTGTCTTGTATTAGTTTGTGCTTGACTCACATAGGCATCCAAGAAATTAAATCACTACCACCATCATCCACAAAATCACCATCTTGGTAGTCCTCACTTAGCAACATAAATTGTGCCATTTATCCATACGATGTGGACATTACAAGAATAGCATTCCTCAGTAGGGAAAATGCAATGTTCAGACACAGTCTGCATTTCTACCGTAGACAATGCATTGGGGCGGCAATGTGCCTTCCTCAACAAAGAGTAACAGACACTGCTTCTCACTGAAAAAGACAACTGTCTGTAAACTGGTTGCCCAAAGCTGGACCTGGTCTTCATGCAGTACAAACATCAGGCTGTCAATAATCTGGATAAGAGAGCTGAAGAGAATGGAGCAGCTGAACGTTAGCTCTGTCACACTACTGGCCCAGGCTTTGGCATATGTTTCATGGCAGATAAGAAGAACTTTATGTCCAAAAGTCAATGACAGAGACTGGAGCCAATGGTCCTATTGCCATGTTAGAAAGTAAGCCAAGGTTTTGAGAGCATCAAAGCTGGTTTTAGTGTGATAGTGTGACCACTGGAACTAGTTCAAGGATTTTTAAATGGCCTTCACATCCATAACCCATGTGGGCAATCACCACTTTACATTTCCATCATCATTTTTTAATAATCTAGGCAAGATTTATCCATACTCAGAACGGTGGCACAAATCTCCAACCAGGTGCAAACTTGAAAAAATAAAAGTGAAGGTATACAGACACCCACAGAATGCGAGACAACCTTGGAATCCACTAGTCTAGTTGACATTAAATCCAATGATCTGGAAAAGATCCATCACCATATGCCACAGAGCCGGATTATAAAAACATAGCTATTTTGACTAAGGAAGAGAGAGCTTTCCAATAACTCACATTCTAGAGATAGCTCAAAATAGACAACCAGCCCATGCTAAGCAACCCCTGAGCAACGCAGGAGAGGCCCACATGTTGCTTTTCATTGGGCCACTGTTTTCTTTCCTTGAGAATGAACCAACAGGCACTGCACAGAAACTGAGGGTCCTAAGTCTGATGACCACAAGTGCCTTTTGTCCTTGGTTTTATCCTCAAAATCTCACATATATATTTGACATAATGCTTAGTGCTTCACTTTGAAAAT